GTGTGTGTGTGTTCTCATTGTTGGTCCTATGACTAATGGAGTCTTGTTAATTTCAGTCCATGAGTTTCAAAATTGTCAATTTAGTACTTTAACAATTCAATTTTTTCCCAATTCCGATCCATCCGGCCAATTTTTCGGCGAAAAATAACTAAAAAGACAAATTTACCCTAAAATTTATAAATGAATAACTGATCAATTAAATTATGTACTCTTTCTGGTGGCCTTACATCATCCACGGCATTGCATCTTGATGGAGCTCCGCAACAACAAAGCCGACGAGGGTTGTGATTACATCCCGAAAACAAAATGGCTCCGAACCCACCAAAATAAAGACTTATGTTCTACTTCAAAGAATCAGCAGCCACCTCCACCTCTACCAAATTCTCTTATTTTTATACCCTGGTCGCATGAAGCGCAACTCCACCGCTATGTGCGTTATTGAAGATTTCAGTTTATTTATTTTTATTTATTATTTATTACTATTTTTAGTTTTCAGCTTTGTTTCGTTATTTTTTTCTCTCGCTCTCTCTCATCCCTCCCATAATCTTTTTCCTAATTACATTTGCAAAATTTCTAAAAAAAACTACAACTTTTGAGGATGCCTAGGACATTGGGTTTGGAGCTTTTTTGGGTTTGGAGCTTTGTTCGAGTTAAAATCACGGTTACTCACCAATTGTTACACACCGTTAACGAAAATTGTTGCAACCTCACTCTCCAGAAAAAAAAAAAAAAAAAAAAACACACAGACCACACACCATGGAAGTAAATAAAATAAAAAAATCCGCTCGTTTTCTTGTTAACAACTGTTTCTAGTTTTCCCTTATTTTTATTAATATAATACATTTACATTAATGCATTGTTTCTCTGATCTTTACACAGAAATCTATACGTCGTTAATTAGTAACCACAATACTTATGAAGTTATTAAACTAATTTGCCTATGGATTAGCCTTGTGCACTCTGATTTTATTTCTTGTGCCACACTACTCTTAGTTTTGAGCATCTTCGCAGGATAACAATATCAGTGTGCATTCCTAAACTCACTTGGTGCATTTAATAGAAATATGTTTGTGGGTATATTCTTCAAAGAGCATCCTCATTACTTTTTATTTTAGCATTGGTTTTTGTAGGCCATGTACGAAAGTGAAGGGAAAAAGGAGAAGAGAAAAGAGGAAAAAACAAACAGGGAAAAGCAAAATCTGGCGCAAAAAGGGGAAAAAAAAACAAAAAAAAGAGGAAAAGCAAGGCGCAAGATATGCACCAAACGCGCAGTACTGCAACTCTTCTGCCATTTCTCTCTCTTTCAGGACCCACAAAGAACATCGTTCTTGGAGGGTAACCCCAACCTTTACACCACATAGGGACTTTCATAACAGAAGACACTACACTATCATATGCACAATATACTAAAACCCATTGCACCACGTTGGGACTTTCAACAGTGTACCACCACATATTTTACTCTGGTCCATGGTCTATGTAGTATCATAGATTACAAGTATGTATCATTTTAGTTCTACTTCAATTTCATTTGACATTGCCATGTATTTTAGAGTCATTTTCCCTCCACACTAGCTTCATTAGCAATACTATACTAAAGTATCATTTTAAATCTATTATAGTTTCATTTCATAATATACATTATTGCTTGAGCTCAATTTTTTGGTATCATTTTCCACACACACTAGTTTAATTATAGTAATATTGAAGTATTATTTTAATTGCACTTCAGGTCATTTGACAATATATGATATTGTATGGCTCTGGATTTTAGTTTTATTTTCCATGCACACTAGTTTCATTTGAAAATAATGTGCTCCTGTTTTTAGTTTCATTTTTCACACACACTAGTTTCATAATAGTAACACTAAACTATCATTTTAATTCTTCTATAGTTTCATTCGACGATCATGGTCATGTGTGGGCCATGGTCCACGGTATAACAACTATTTACCACCCACAAGAATATAATGCACTTTGCATCTTTCTGAAATGGAACAATAGATAAGCGTCTCCTAAACCGTAATCCACTGCCCTCAGTTCAACCAATCCCATTTACACATCCCACTCACCCTGGTCTAATATACAACTACATCGTACTTTAATCATTAGGAACAACAGCTCCCAGGATCGAAATCAGCGTTCGAAATAAAATCAAAAGCAACATACTTGGGTTCACGAGTGATCACGGTCGCCGGAGATGGTGACTCACCAAAAGCGTTATTCAAAATCCAAAGGATATCATGACTGGAATTATCGATCGAGTTTCACGATTGAAAACGTAATATCATACTGAATAGAAGGAAATTATTATTCATTGCAATCACCAACTTAACCCCATTAATTGTTTTTAAAGAAAAATGTGCATTAAGGGTTTTAATTGTACATGAATTGAACTATCTAATCCCAATCTATCAAAAATTAAGATTGGTACATAGGTTCACATTCCAGGATCTAAAAAATGTGAATTCATCTTAGCCGTTTATAAGAGTTCATAGGGTTATAGTAAAAAATATGGGTAAATTGCCAAACACCTTGTGCTCTGATGACATGTAGTGACCTTTCCTATGTGGGAGGTTGTGAGATCGAGCCTTAGAGGAGGTGTTTGGCACTGTAGTGTGTTTAAACAGATAGTATAATGTAATAGAGTCAGTAGCATTTAAAAATAATATGAGTAAATTTTTTAATTATTGAAAATTTTAATTTTTTTTTATAGGGGATGTGTGGGAAAATTCTTTGGTGACACTAGGAGAGGAAACCAGATATTTTTATTTATTTATTTTTATATAAAATAATCATAAACTTTTAAAAAAAAAAAATAAGATTTGACCCACTCGATCTCATTTTAGTTAACCATCAATGTCCAATTGAAGCACTTCAACTTGTTAATACAAAATGTTAATATATGAGACGCACACATTTCAAAAGATAGTATTTTTTTTTTGAAACAAGATTTGAACCATTAATCTCACAATTAAAAATTAATAACATTTTCTACAAAATAAAAAATGTATAAAAGACTTGTAATATAAAAAATTTATAAAACGCTTGTAATATCGTTTGAACTTGATTTTTTATATTACTAAATTGTGTTTAATTAATTAATTTATTGATACATTATGAAAATTGATAACTTATAATATTTATAAAATTTATTTTATTTTTAGTCATTAAAATATGTTAGATTGATAAATTAAAAAATTTACATAAGACTTTTAATTTCGGGTTTGTTGTTTATTTTTATAGGGTTTGCTATTAATATGTAAAATTATTAATGAAATCAAAAATCCACATAGTTGTAATTCAATCTTTATTGTGTGGACCATGTTCCACACGGCTATGTGGACTATACAATTAAATAATGTACATACAGTACACAAATAATGTACTTTTAATATATTGAAAATGTACATTGTATTCAGAGAAAAGTATTTATTTGAGTACTAAAAATACACTATTTTGTATAATATACATTCAGTACACGAATAATGTACTTTTATTATATTTAAAATGTATTTTTATGGTTCACACAGCATTGCGTGGACTATGGTGCACACAATAATTAGCCGTTGTAGTTATGTTAGCATCATTAGTTTTTTTGTGCTAACAATATTTTAAAATCAATTTTTTATATTGTATCAAAGCCATTTAGCATATTTTTAATCTATATATCTAGTGTTGGAAGAAGCGAAAAATTAAAACATTTTATTTCTTGAGTTTGGTCCTAGGCCAGTTTTAGCGGGGTCAAACCATTTCTTAATAAGACCAAGACGACCCTAATTCAAGCTATTCCCGGTGAAGCAAAGTCTAATTTTTCCGGGGAGATTCAACGCATGTCTAATAAGCAAATTATATCGTGCACCAGGGGCGCACAATAGTGCAGATATAACGATTGGGTCTAATATAATACTGGAACAGAATCCACAATACAATGTGAACCCTGGTCCATGGTATAACAATTGCACCTCTAGGGTCTGTGTGCTTCTGGTGTCTCCTACCAAAAATGAATATATCAAGCCGGTAAAGGAGAACACTGGTTCAATAAGATTCCCAATGTTAGTTTCATAATGTTAGATTTTTTTGGTTCAATTTGTAATAATGTTTGTATCAAATCTTATTGTTAATCAATTCAACAACATACATGTGTGATAAAGTGTCGTAAATACTCATTTATTTTGATTATATTAATTGTGCTTAGGTGACTTGACAAGATATGACTGGAAGACCTACTTTGAAGTTTTGAATGTGACCAGGCCACAATTAGTGTTTCTTCTATAAAGAGACATCAAATTTCTAGGCAAAAGTTTTACTGAATCTTAAAATCCATAAAGGGAAAAGTGTAAAAATACATCTCTATATATGTCAAGAGTGGTGTAAATGTTGCCCTCAATTGTCAAAACGGTGCACATATAGCCCTCCCGTAACGTACATGTGGTTTCTCCGTTAGTGTACGGCACCGTTAAGTCGGAGTAAATATGTAATTTAGTTGTTTTTTCCATACCTCGATTCGAAGTACCAGCGATGGACAACGGTGGGAACCGCAGTCCGTTACGGGAGGGGCTATATGTGCACCATTTTGATAATTGAGGGGCAAATTTACACCACTCATAATTCATGGGTGACATTGATAATTGGCATATTATAGAGGGACATTTTTTTACAATTTTCCCATCCATAAATTATGTAGTTAATTAATTGAGTGGAGCATATTAAAGAGTGTTCTGCAATAAGAGAACTCTACAAGAATGAACTCACAATTAGTGGGATACCAAGTATTATGCACGAACCCAGAAAAAAAATAATTCGAAGAATAGCTAGCCAAATGTAAAAGAAAAAGTTCAAAATTGAATTGATTCAGCATCCGTGCATGAAACAATATTTGTTTCATGATAATACATTAGTGATAATATTGTAATTTCTAAATATTTATATATATATTTTTTTTAATGCACTGTCTGCATTTCACAAGATCATACTAATCATAAAAAAAAAAATTGTGTTTAATATGGTTTTTCGCCCATATAGTTGCCCGGAGGGTTATAGTAGCAGATGACAAACATCCAATCAGTTTTGCACGTAACCCTAGCACAGCCAATACTCGTGCTGCCGCCCCAAACCACCTGCGTATAAGAGCGGCAATTGTTGCCGCTGGTGCAAGAATTCGATGCGTGGTCATAGTCCTTCTTCTCACCCATCCACAACTTCATGGAATCCGCCGGAGACAATTCGGCAGAGGCCACCGCAATGTTTTCCCCATACAGCCCGTTAGAGTTCTGCGGCACACAGTCAGCAGACCTCTTGGCGGCATAGGATTCGGCGATGTCTGCTAAGGTGGAGTTCCAGTTAACAGGTGGAGATCCAACAGTTTGTCGGGCCGCGTTATGTGCAGCAACAAACCCTTTAACGCAATCAGAGTCACAGGCGGATTGTACGAAAGATGTTTTGGGCAATGGCGGCTAAGGCAATTATGGAGATGGTGAGCTGCAGAAAAGAAACTCCATTTCCTTTTTATTGTGATTTGCTGCAATAAAAAGGAAAAGAGAGGAAATGGAAAAATGTGTCTCTATCTGCAGAGATGCAATGGCCATTGGCATTGTGTTATAGGGTATTTATAGGATTGTTTGTATCCTAAAAGAATGGATTGCTTTTAATAATTTGTATGGCTTAGAAATACAAGAATAATGGTCACCTCACAAATATTTATAGGTAGAGTATGTATAGGAAGAAAGTTAGGTAGGTTGAAAAAAATTTGATGTTACACTTTATCTGCTTTGCAAGTTTTTTGTTGTCATTTGGTCTCTCAGTGACATATATTGGGTGGGTAGAGGCAGAAGGGATTATACAATTTATGCAGATAATAAGCTAGGTTTCCCACTCCCAATTCATTAACATTCAAGATTAGCATAAACAGCACTCTGTCGGAAATTTGGATACAAACATATTTCTTCTACTTTTATTTTACTGTATGTTATACTACTTGTCTTCATCAAAAGCTGTCAAATTGTAAGGTTTACCATTTTTATTTTTTTATTTTGGGATAATAAGGTGATATTCAAATTGAAGTGTTGTTTTATAACACTGGGTCAAAGGTTGGCCATCGTAAACTTTGGAGTGACATGTATGAAAATTAGCAAACAAAAAGATTGGCTCGAATTATTGAATTAAATT